AATAAAATGAAGATGACATGTACATCATTATCAGTTATATTTTTTACACAACACTTTTTAACATAACATATAATTATTTCGTTTGAAGAACATAATCCCGTAATTATCACCCAAGCAGATAAGAAGGAGAGAGCAATTTCAGGCCCATAACCCCAAGACAGGAATACCGCCTCGGACGCCTATGGTCTAGCCTTGCAAGAACACGATATCCAGCTCCACTCAACCTACAAAGCAGACGGAAATCATGCACCGAAGTATAAACGACAGGGTCCTGGATTTGAGTCAGAAACCTCGCCCGTGAAGTAAATCATCGATTTCATTGTGGAAGACAAAAATTTTTCTGAAGAATTCGTCATGATGTTACGATGAATTCTGTAATTTAGTCGAAAAAAGAAAAAAGAAAATAGAATGCCACGGTGTTTACTCGGGCTCCGTATTTTGATGGTTATTCTTTTTTCTCAGGCAGGCTCCTCCACGAGAAGAAAAATGCTATCTTCAGTACAAAACCCTCGTTTCCTCCTCATCCAGTGCCGGCGGTCTAAGCCTTTCCACAACCGCTACCACCAATATCCCAAATCCATTCACGCCACTTCTCAGGTTCAGTCCGTTTCTACTTCATTGCCCACCTCCCAAATCCAAAAAATCCAAAAATCCATTCTTTCCCGTGAGAAAACAGCTCGCCAATTCGCCGAAGAATTTCTCAACCGTCTCCGCCTTACAGAGCCTCATGTCAAGAGCTTCCTTCACGTCTCACAAACTGTTTTAAACGAGGCAGATGAGATTGATCGGAAGATTGATCGAAACGAGGATGTGGGACCCCTCGCTGGAGTCTTGGTTGCTGTCAAGGACAACATTTGTACCGCCGACATGCCTTCTACTGCTGGGTCCAAGATATTGGAAAATTATCGGCCCCCATTCGATGCGACGGCTGTTAGGAAGTTGAAGGAAGGTGGCGCCATTATAGTTGGGAAAACTAATTTGGATGAGTTTGGAATGGGGAGTACCACCGAAGGATCAGCTTACCAGGTTAGGGCTTAGATATTTTCTCTTCTCCCGTTCTTATACTTGTGTTCCCTAAGATTAGGAATAGCTTAACTTCAACTGCAAAGTGCAAACCTAAGCTTGTCTACCTTTTATTGGCTGTCTTCCAAAGTGGTGTGCCTTTGGACTTTAGAAGAGCAAAATTTGAATGCAGCTGATGGTAAATCAGAGTAAATATAGAACAAAGCACAGCGGCAATATCATTCTCATCACAGATCATTTACTCTCTTGTAGTAATAAAAGAACTAGCAGTGATTACTACTCACAACTATATGCATCCTTAATCTTGATAGTAGCATCATATATAACTACTATGCAGAAGAATAAGATTTCTGTTGTAAGCTATGTTGAAAATGCTACCATCACGATTAGAGTCACTTGTCATTGCGAGTGGTAGATTTGAGTGAAGTTATGCCATACCAAACAGGATGCCTTGTTTTAACACCTAAAACTTATGCCATAATAAGAAGTCAAGAAGTTTGAGAACTGTAACTTCTGATGTAATGTTGATTTAAGTGTGCTGTGGTCCTTGGGCAGGTTGACACCTAAAAGCTGACCTTTTAACCTTTCTGTTTTAGTTTGTGCTACATTGGATGCGTGTTGTGGAATACCCATTTACGTTTTCTATGTATTCAATTTGCTTTAATTTGTAGAATAATAATTTTCCAATGGGAACGGTTTTGATGCAAAAGGATTTGTGCTTGTTACTAAACATGGTTCAGTAATTGCATTTTGCTACTTATTAGGTTACTGCAAATCCTTGGAACCTTGAATGTGTACCAGGGGGGTCATCAGGAGGCTCAGCAGCAGCTGTTTCTGCTAGGCAGTGTGTAGTATCGTTGGGAAGTGATACTGGTGGAAGTGTTAGGCAACCTGCATCATTTTGTGGTGTTGTAGGACTAAAGCCAACATATGGCCGTGTCTCACGATATGGTCTGGTGGCATATGCATCGTCACTGGATGTTATTGGATGTTTTGGCTCATCGGTAGCTGATGCTGGAATTCTCCTTCAAGCAATTTGCGGTCACGATAAACTTGATGCCACTAGTAGCAAGCGGGTAAATTTCTTCTGCCTCAAATTCTTGACATTTACAGTTTCCTGATATGGTATGTTAGAAAAATATACCATACATGTGGATGTAATACACACAAGAAAATATATTGCGATAGGATTATTGCATCATTTTCAAAATAAAACATGGAAAGTTAAGTTTCAGCACAAAATTTCCTTTCTTGGTCGGAAAAATATGTAAATCTTGTTATTGTATTTTACCCTTGTTTGTGCACCTTTTACACACAAATTTTTATCTGAATCTGAATGCAAAGCATCATTGTTAATCATCATGTCAAAAAAATCAATCAAGGGAGTGTGCCTAATTCATAACATATGTTGTTTAGTCCAATAAACAAACTGGTGCATTTCAGTTTGATGAAGTTCGTTGGTTTCTTATAGCAAAAATGGTTTTATCTTAACCATATTCCGCAATCTATGTCTTCAGGAAGTTAATGACTTCACTTCTCAGTTCGTTGCCAAAGATATTTTTGAATCGCAACCTCTAAAAGGACTACGGGTTGGTGTAATTAGTGAAACACTTGGGGACGGAGTTGATCAGGAAGTAGTTTCGTCAATCCGTGGTGCTATTTCTCATCTGGAAGAATTAGGATGTATTGTGACAGAGGTTCTAATTCTATATTCATGTCGTCTAGATCTGTGATGCTGTCATCAGTTAATGCAAGTAGCTTAACATTTATTTCCATGTGATGGATGGATTGTAGGTTTCATTGCCATCCTTCTCCCTTGGATTACCAGCATACTACGTCCTTGCTTCATCTGAATCTTCTTCAAATTTGTCTCGCTATGATGGTGTCAGGTGATATACAGTTGCTGCACTTATCCTTCTTAATTGTTGTACATTTTAAAGTTGGCATTATCAGGAACACATGTAGCAAATTTGAATGAACAACAATGTTGTCGAGTGTTTTGATATTTTTCGCACTTAATTGCCATCTTTCCTTTCAAAATCATAATTGTAGATCATGATTCCCTTTTCATATATAAAACGAACATGAAAACTTTAACCTACATTTCAGTACCGTATACTGACCATTATTATAGTTAAATCCTATTGTTTTTCCTTTAAATGCATACCTGACATCTATTGTTTAAGAAATAAAGTTACAATAATGCTAGATAAACAAGTTTATGACCACCTAAAATATAGTGGATGGCTTATGTGATACGTTTTTGATCTCCAGGTACGGTAACCAAATTGTTTCGGATGAGCTGAGTTCCCTTTATGGGGGTTCCCGAGCTAATGGCTTTGGTCCAGAGGTATGAAAAAAAATACATTGACTTGGGTCAACTGATGTGTGCATCAGTAAGTACGCACATGTAGAAGGTTTTAAGTTTTAATGCGCACTGCATCTCATAAGGTTGCTTATAAGTTCGAACAGATTGAAGGCTCTGCTAGTTGCTTAACAAAAAATGATTTTCTGAATAATACTTTGCAGGTAAAAAGGAGGATTTTGATGGGGACATATGCCCTTTCAGCAGGTTATTATGATGCTTATTACAAGCGAGCTCAGCAGGTATCCCCTTTATTTTACTCCTAATGATGGTTGCTTGGTTGGGGCTTAGGAATTCACATCATGGATTTGGATGTATTATAATATTTGGTGCTTCTTGAACTCTTGTGGTGTTGATTACTATGTTCATCATGGTGAAGTTTCTGGTTTAGGTGAGGACTGTAGTCCAGAAAAGCTTTAAGGCGGCACTAGATGAACATGATATTCTAATTTCACCTGCAGCTCCATCTGCAGCATACAAAATTGGTATTTTCGTCATTCTTCCTTGATATACAGTAATCATCTTGTAACCCCTACTTTATTATTTATTTTTTTATTTTTAAACCGGATATTTACAGGTGAAAAGAAAAATGATCCACTGGCAATGTATGCTGGGGATATCATGACTGTAAGTCCTTCTACGCTTCTTTCTTAACTGCTGCTATCTCTTTCAGACATATCTCTAGATACTTGTATATGATTTGCAAGTCTGGCTGTACTCAGTTGTTTGCTGAACATTGTTTCTGTTTCATAATCTTTATTTGCGAACTTTCTTAGGTAAATGTCAACTTGGCTGGATTGCCAGCGCTGGTTTTGCCATGCGGATTTGTTAAAAACGGCACTGCTAGCCTTCCTGTTGGCTTTCAAATGATTGGCGCTGCATTTGATGAGGTGAAACTAGTTTCTTCTTATCATGTTTTCCATATTCACGTGTTAGATGCCATGGACCTAATAGATGTGGCTGGTGAATAGAAAACTCTTGAGCCACCCCACCAAACACACACTCATGCTATAAAATATCCAAGATTAAAGTCCAGTTTCCATAATGTTCAAAGGTTGGTGTTCTAAAAAGAGATTATCGGAGCTAGGCAACCAAGTGACCTTCTAAGCATTAAGCATTGGCTGAGTTTACCTGGGTTCGTGTAAAATTCAGGGTTAACCCGTAGAATAAAAGTAAAAATACTATACTTAAACAATTATCATTGTAAGTATGCAGCATGCTAAAGATTAGTAGACTGAACAGCATTAATTACACTGTGGCTCGTATAAGCTTGGAGGGCTCGGTTCATTTGGGCTCACCAAGCTGCCAAGCTCCCTGGCTTACCAAACTTTTTAACAATTTGCCTCATAAGCTCCCAATGCCCCCACATCTGTGCCCCTACAGGCAAAATCTAAATGAAAGGATAATAGAATTCTTATGCCACTTGGAACCACATTCACATCTTTCTTTTTGAAGTATTTATATTCATAAACGGTAAAGCTCACACACACACTTTTCACCTTTGGTGTGACTTGAACCCTTGACCTCCGGGAATGTTGGTTTTTACTGGTAAGTGGTAACCTATGTACTGCTGGGCCAATGACCGTTTGGTTTCACATCTCTTGATCAAAATATGATTCGTTTAGATGTTAATATGAAAATAAGAGTTCTATTGATTCAAACCTGGTGTGTTTATATTTTTTTGACAATTGCAGGAAAAATTGCTTAGAGTGGGGCATATTTTTGAGCAAACTCTTGAAGGTTGCTCATTTATCCCTCCTCTGATAGCAGATGAATTCAAATGCTAGCAACAGTGGATGATCTTTGAAGATTTTTGGTGAATTATGAGTCATTGTCTTCTCTCATGGTATGTGGAATTGTAGCATAGGGAGAGGGTTTCATGAGCTAATAGTTGTAATATTCTTGTAGTTGATGGAGGTGCTCAAATATGCCCCACAAAGTTGATGGCTATTTTGCATTTCCCTCTGAACTTAAATCATTTTTTTTGCTCAGTTAACCATCTATTCGTTCTAAAATGGAGAATATTTGTTATTAGAGTAAACTACAATTTCCGTCCCTTTGATTTGAGAAAGATTGTGATTTTCGTCTTCATAGTTTTGAAATTGCAATTTTTAATTCTATGGTTTGAATTTTTTACTGTTTTCATCCCTGAGACTAAATATGTTAAAACTTCTCTATTAATGTAACACCCCAAGATCCACATTCGCATATAACCATGTATTTCATATAAAGAGAATTATCATGGTACACATTTGGACCCAAAAAGATATAAGTTACATCTCAAATGTAGCTAACAAGTTTTTCCACATCATTCGTGTATATCACTTGCATATATAACAAGTATTCAAGATCAACAAATAACAGATCTTCTCCATAATCCAAGTAAGCACACAAGGAAAATCTCACATTTTTCTCTTTTCATTATCTCTTGATAGTGTTCGACCTGTAATGCATATTTTTGAAACATAAAATGAATGTTATACCTTGAGTGAGGTCTAGTGAGATTTTTTTTGTGCAATTACAGGGTGAAAAATCATCAAAAACATTTTATAAAATCATATTTGTAACAATAACAAACCTATACATCATTTTGACATAAATCTCAAATGTTGCATTCAAAACTTAATATTATGAAAATTAATTCATAATAAAACTTGTTTCATCAAATAGGAAGTTGTAAAATTTCTTCACATCATGTTGATGAGGCATACCAACTCCTTGCATCACATTAGTGTGAGAAACTCAACTCCTCGCATCTCACAGAGCGAGACTATCCAGAGTCCCTCTGGTCCATCAATCAGAGCAAAGCCAAACTTAAGACAAGGTCACTTAAAGTTAATCAAAAAAAAGATTTGATAAATAATAAATAAATAAAAACAAGACCAACCAAAAGCTTTTTAGATGACCAGAGCCTCTGGTCCCACTAATTAGAGCCTCTGGTCTCGAACTTCAAATTCAATCAGAAGCTCAAGACAAACCAAGAAACCCTCTGGATCATTTTAATCAATGCAAAATACATTAAGATAGTCAACTTAAAAGTATAAGCTAGCCAAAAGCAGACCAATAAGAAGACATGACCTACCAGAAATGAGTTATATGTAGAAAATGAACTTTAAATATGACCAGAGGCCTTTTGGTTAAACATGAGTCCCTCTAGTTCATTTGCCAAGACAACATACTTAGAAGGAATTCCCCCAAAGCCAAGGCCAATCAGAGGCCCTCTAGTTCACCATAAAAATCAACCAGATCCCTTATGGTCCTTAAACACTTCTTTTTATCACATCAATAAGATGCGACAACCCAAGTCATCGTATCACACATATACGATCACTTAAGATCATCACCTCATAAGAATGTGATAACAAAATCCATGATCAAAAGATCATCATTTCTAAAAATAGATTATGTCACCCTTATTACCAATGTACTAACTTCTGATTATGCTATCCTTGTTACCAATGTATGCAGCTCCTTGATATGCCACATTTATTACAATAAAGCATGATATAATCATGATCAAAACCACATTTTTACCAAAACTGGCAACCAAAACCGTTTCAAAACAGAAACTCATACAAATAACCTTACATTTTTATACCATATTTACCGTCAAACTCACATATCTTTCAAGAAACTATTTTATCATCTTCCCATATAAGAACCATACAGTTCAATGTTTCAAACACCAAATAAAGAAAATTGATAAGAAACTCATTTTTTTCATGTATTTGAAGATGAATTCACACAACAACAACTTCAAATGGAATCATAAAATCAACTTCTTCTTTTCTCTCACAGGAAAACACACAAAAATGTTTTCTTTTTCCCTTTTCTCCCAAAAACAATGATCTTATCAATTACTTTTACCACCATAATTATAACACATACAGTGGAGTTTATTATTTTAAAACTTATCATTTTCACATTTCCCCATGAAATAAAACAAATATCTCATGTTAACAATCATATATTATAAGAGGCGGTGAGAATATTTAATCACTTAAGCACATTCACAATTTAAGCTCCTTAACTTACCATCAACTTAAAAATAAAACCACCTCAAACTTTTTTATATTCAATACTTGGTTATCACAACTAACATAGAGGTATTTTAGTTTTTTTGATTTATTTTCTTTTTTGGTTTATTAAATATATTTTTTGGTTTCTTTTATGGTATTTTTTTGTCTTTTTTATTTAATAAAACTATATATTTTTTGACAAAAAGTTTAATAGATAAAAAGTTTATATTATTTTGTTATTGTTTATGATAGAATAATTAAGAGTAAAATGTGTGAAATAGCAAACTACTTTTACATATTTTATTATTATAGCATTGTACATTCAGTTTTCTTATTACAACAATATACTCTCAAAATAATTTTTATTAGGGCATCGTAATTTTAAAAAAAATGTTTTCGTTATAGCATTGGATGACATTTTAAATTAAATTTACTCATTATACCAAGTTTCTTTGCCACCTCATCATCTACATAGGCTGTCCACATGAACGATAGTCCTGGCATGACATTTCTTATTATAGCATTATACTTTCAAAATTACTTTATTATGACATCATCAATTTCTATTACAACATTGTACTTTTAATTTTAATATTTTCATTATTTAAACATTGTAAATTTAATCAAATATGTTTACTAAAATTTATAATTTCATAAATTAAATATGTTTATGAAAAATCACTATTTCACGAATAAATATTCATAAAAAATTGATGTCTGAATTGTACACATATTTAGTTTTTGATATTATAATTTTTATGAATATTTTTATTCATGAAATAGTGATATTCTATAAACATGTTTAAGATATTATAATTTTTAGTGAACATATTTGATCAAATTTACAATGTTTAAATGATAAAAATATCAAAATTAAAAGTATAATGTTGTAATAGACATTAGTGATCTTACAATAAAGTAATTTTGAAAGTACAATGTTATAATATGAAATGTCATGTCAGCACTATCGTACATGTGGGCAGCTTACGTGGATGATGAGGTGGTAAAGAAACCTGGTATAATGTGTAAATTTAATTTAAAATGCTACCTGATGCTATAACCAGTAAATTTTTAAAAGTACGATGTTGTAATAAGAAAATTTGTAAAAGTAGGTTGTTATTTCGCGCATTTTGCTCAATAACTAAAATATTTTAATACAACTGGTTTTTTTATATATATTTTTGTTCGTTAAGAGTTCGATTTTTGTCACTAACATCATTCAAGTGCAAACTGTTGACTACTCATTATAGCATTTTAATGCTTTTTTTTTCTTTATTAGAGACCAAATGCTAATATTTATTATAGGACCAAACAATTAACTATTTTTAGGCTATTCTTACCAAATGAATGTATGCAATTTTATTAACATGACATACAATTGTTTGGTTTCAGAAGTTATTCAAATATATCAAACAAATTTATGACGTACAATTGTTTGGATCAATTTTTTACATACGGATGAGGGTCCGCCCCTTGGACCTCGCCAGGGGTACTGTCCCTGGACCCCCTGCATACCGAGATCAACTTAACTTATTCGAGCATATATTTCACATTTTTAGATTCGAATTATAATTAAATTAAATTTTGGCTTGTCTTATGACTTGATGACATTAAAATCACCAATAACCCGCCGGTTGTGGTTACTAATTGTTGTAAGCCTTTGGTAACTACCAAAAAAAATTAGAACCCCTCGGAGCTCTTGAGGGTTCACTTGATTAAAAAATCAGTGAAAATCAAATACCGATATTGCCTTTGCAAACGCGTGGGTCCAGTGACTCAGCGCTAGAGATCGTGTTGGATTGCTTTGTATCCCACCCACCCCCAAACTGTACCCTGGGCCTGAGTTACCGAATCAATATCCGCCGGAAAAGATCCGCCACCGCTTTGTCTCTCCTTCTTCAGTCGCCGATGATGATGTCTCCTATCAATTGCTGAAGACGCTTCTTTGAATTTCGATTTATCACCATCTTTTTTAAATTTTTTCATCTGATATCCGATTTTTGTCTGGAATCGTGTTGATCCTCTTATCTCCGATCTCGTCTCCGGCGTCGCCTCCTGCCACAGGTAATCCTCAGATATCCTTATCCTATTGAATTGATTTGTCAATTTGTTGAATTTTGTTCGTAAATCAATTTATTCACTCCCTACTCTTCCAGAACTGTAAAGATTTTCGAATATCGGCAAATCCATCTAAATCCATGCGCGTTTTACGTTTCTAATCCATAAATACCCAAATTCAATATATGTTGATTATACAAAATCGATAATATATGGGTTTTCTTGAAAATAATATGAGTATAAAATAGGGTAGATTATTAAATATTTGTCATGTACGTTACAATCATACAAAATTCATATGTTGCTCTTTAGATGATAACCCGAAATAATTGCAATGATTTCATTCATTGATATCAAACTAACTGCAACATTTTAGTTTTGAGAAAAAAAAATCTAACAATGTTATTATCTGTAGCTAATCATGAGCACTAATCCTTATTGGTTAGTAGTGGTTGGTAAATATCGATGACAATAGTCAAAAGTTTGGCCAAGTATGGGTCTGGTTGAAGTGTTTACTTTTTTTGGGTTATGATCACTCCAATTTGTAACACATGTGTGCAGAAAATAGACTGATGTCGGTATTATATTTTGGAACATATATATATATATATATATATATATATATCATTTTGCATTCATGAAACACGATGGTTGATTTCAAAAAGCAAGGTGCAGCATTTTTTTCTTTCTAAATGGACCTAGTACTACATTTTTATGATCGACCAATTCTGATCTTAATCCTTTATATGATTGGTTATTATCCATTTGGTTTTCTCGTCCTAAGCTGCAACTTCAACGTATTGTTGTACATTAATGTGAATGACTGTAAAATATCATTGTGTTTTAAAATATTATTAAATGCTTCCTGCAGGGCTGCACTCCAATGATGAGATCAGGACACCACACAATGGAAGAATGGGGTACAGAGCAGATAAGAAGAGTCCCTTCTTTGGTTGATCTATGTGTTCAAAAAGCTGTAGACAATGTTAGGTACCTAGGGGATGTGGGAGAGACAGACCTACATCTTCTAGAACGCTTTTTACCACATTGTACCGTGGAGCAGCTGACACATATCGAGGATTCAACTGAGGTAATGAATTCTTTTTAGCATAGGTTTCCCAAGCAACAAATTCTGTTAAAATGTGAGATTTAAAGATTATATGTTGTGTAGGAACGGGATCTTAGCCCAGTTACTGATAAGCTATGGAAGAACTTTTACATGCTACAGTTTGGTTCTAAAAGCACCAATGTCGTAATTGAGAGAATGAAAGAGAAGAAGGTTTCATTTAAATGGAGACAATTGTATGAGGTGATTTTCTTTTCTTTCTCTTCACAAAGTTTTTCGTGGTTTCTTACGCTATTTTGTCTGTTTTGTGTTTATGTAACATGGAATGAGAATTTGAGAAAGAATGCCATTTGCATCCTGTTAATATTGAGAAAAAAACATAATTTTTTACCAACAAAGATCTGAGAACAAGGGATAATTTTGGTTTCATCAATCAAGAGCGTCGCATGAATGGCAAGATGTGCCTCCTGGAATTGAACCATATGTTTTGAAAACATGTTTAATGCTTAAAAGTTATAAGATTGAATTCAGAAATGATGGGCATTCTTGCAATGATCTTAACTTAAATAATTTAAACATAAGCAATGTGCTTACCAACGGAAGCATTTCAGAATCATCAACTTTAACTACTTTTACGTTTATCTTATTAAACATGCGATGGCAATCCAATTATTTACCAAGTTACTGTACAACGAGAATTGCTGTATCCCATAACACTTTATAGCAAGAAAAACGATTCCTTCTGTTGAACAAAATAAGGAGAGGCTTGTGTTGTTGGCTACAGTGAAAAAGGAAAGAAGACTGAAATCATTCACCACGGACAGTGAGATGCTTCATATCTTGTATGTTGCCTTGCTTCTTGAGACACTTTATAGCCTCCATGTTGCTTCTCACATGGCTATGTGTATGTTTTCCTCAACATTGCCATGTTCGTGGCAATTTTACTTGAAGTTGGAGGTTTTTCGTGTCCTTGTCTGTTTTTAATATTTTCTTGTTAAGTTTCTTAATCCTGAATAAAACTGAGAGATACATGACACAAACTTACAAGTGTCACAAGAGTTTGGAGAAAATGATAAGATATTTGCACACTACTTAAAAAAAATGGCATTGCTATAATTACGTTGCTCAATCTGCAGGCAAAGGTAAAGGACGTGGATGAAGCCCAACAGAAGTCATTTGAGCGAATAAAGCAACTATATAAAAAAGAAGATGCTAGTAAGTTTTTCATTTACTATGTACAAGGACCTACTTGTTCATCTTTTTGCTCTATTTATTTTATTCTGCCGCTACATTTTTGTTAAGTAGTGCACTTTGAAGGTGCAACCCACCCTACATATGCATTTGTTAGTTTGGAATCTGCATGCTGGTTAGACAACATTTCCCAGGAGGACTTAATGACACATTGCTGACAACCCTCTTTCCTTATTACTTAACTTTGCTAGGGCCCTCATACCCTTTCATTAGTAATCACCTAATGCAATAAGAGGTTGTATGACTTCATTTTGTTAGGGTTGTCTGGCTTGGCACAAACCATGTTGCTTTTAGGATGACTACCAACTCTAGGCTCTAGCATCTTGTTTGACAACGTGTTATAGTGGTATGCCGTTGAACATGAAATTACATAAGGTTCACATTCTCTCATGTAGTCATTTTCTGTAATGACCATTTTCTTTTGCATTTGATTATGACCTCCCTAAGCATGCCAAGTTACATGTTTGACATAGCAAACAAAAGTGTTGAATTTGGTTAGGATAAGAAAGAAAGATTTATGATGATCTTTTATTATGTTTTACCAATACTTTGGGAATAGATTATGCTATATACTCGCATATATACCGTTGGTTTGTATAATAAAATATATAGAAGAATTAATTCTTCATGATATGAGAGCTTTGATTGCTTTTCTCTGCATCTTCATTGCCAACCAACTCGCCTTCGTCAGTCTCTACAACTTCATTATTTCCGGATAAAACTTTGGCCGTTGTTTTCAGCATAGACACTAGTTGCCCTCCGTTTTTGTTGCTGATGTAAACCATAGATAGCCGCCCTCACCACAACGCCTCGCCCCCTCGTTGATGCCTCACTGCCTCAGCGTCTGTCCGTCGTTCCTTGTCACCTCTCACAACTTGTGATTTCTTTTCGTACTTTCTCATAAGATATAAGTACTACGAGCAGAGAGTCTGAGAAAAGTGATGACGGGCCTACCTCGAACTGAACAATTATCGAAACGAGCTTAATGGCGGTTAGTAGGGGGAGTGAAGATAATGGAAAATCATTTTGCTTGCAAACACAAAGATGTTGCATCATGTTCTAACGTACCTTTAGAACTAAAAAACGAGATCAACCAATATTTAAATAACTTTCAAAATGCATTGTTTACTTCTCAACGAGATTTTGAGGAGATGGTATATTTTGGAGCCTACTTTGTTGGTGGCGGCAATGGAAGTGGCAATCCATTGGAGGCATGAACTGTTGTAGTGTTAAAGGAGTCAAAGGACCAATGGATCAGTTTGTGGAAAAATAAAAGACAATAAAGTGGTAGAGACTAACAAGTGAGAGGTGACAAGGAGATTAGAAAGAGAATTAATTTGTATTGCTACAAACCAATCATATTTCAAATATATCGCATTCAGTTGAAAATAATGGTTGATGATTGAAAGCTCTAACGGTGCATGGGATGATAACTTGGATCTCAAAAGAAGAAATGAAGACAACAACATCCGAGATTGTGAATATAACTAAAGCAACATGGAAAAAATTGGATGGTTGGTCGAATGTGAGAAATAGGCATCTCATCAATTGTTTTAAATTAACAATTAACAATCAATATGCGATTGTTTTGTTAGAATCGTTGATGCATTAGATTGTATGAAAGATGCACAAAAGCTGTTTGAATTGCTTGATGGTGTTATAAAAAAGTTTGAAGAGATTGTGATCCATATAATCATTATAATGCAAGTGCATACAAAGTTGCTGGGAACTTATTGATGGAGAAGAGGAAGAGTTTTATTGGCCTCCATTTCATGCTCATTGTATATAGATTTGATACTTGAAAAAATTGGAGAATTGCCACAATAAAAATGTTTTGCTTAAAAGCAAAAACAGGAAGCAATTTCATCTGCAATCATCAATGAGTTTTGAGTTTAACAAGTTGTTTGCAAATAAAGATCACCTTCAACCCGCTGCCACACGATTTGCCGAGGCCTTTCTGACACGAACTCTAGAAACTATGTATCAGGTAACAACCTTTACAAATGATGTTTGTTTCAAATTAATGGGCAGGCTGTGCATGGGTAAAGAGACCTAAAGGGAATGCTGTGAAAATGATTGTAATGGATGAGCAACATTTTGGCTTGGTATGATTTATTCTAATAAAACCACAAACCCTTGTGCTTGTTTTAAGGGTAGTTGATGGTGAGAGCACTCTTGCAATGGAGTTTATTCATAAGGCTTTGGACGAGGCAAAAGAGATTATAGCAAAGAACTTGGATAAAGATGTGTCCTCTTATAAGAAGGTTTGGAAATATTGTTGATACAAAGTTGGAGCTTTAGTTGCATTGTGACTTGCATGCAATTGCATATTACTCGTATCTTTGATTTAGGTAGAGTTCCAATGTTTCTAAGCATCCAAAGATTAAGCATGGATTGTACCATTGCATGGAGAGACTCATCAAGGATGAAGCCACTTCATGAAGATTAATAAGCAACTTAAGGCATACAAATACAAACAAGGTTTTAGACCCCATCATTCTTATATGTAAAAGTATTGTAAAATGTTTTAAGTGCTGAAGACTAGAGACCCGATGAAGACTATCATAGATAGGTTGTGACCAACCAGAGATGCCCAACCTGATGAAGAGTCCATCTGGTCGATGAAAACATAGCCTTTCCAGAACCCCTCTGGTCTTCAGCTCATGATAGAATGAACAAGTCTTCAAGTTATGTTTAGTCAGCTCAAGCCTAACAAACTGAGACATGGAGGCTATTGATTGGACATGCCACTTAGAGGCAGTTATGCAACTTTACACATGGCAGGCTGTGATTCATCACTGCCTTGACTTTGCAACTCTAGGAGGTTATAAATAGTTGTTGTACTTCATTTTGTTAGATCATGTTTTCACAATCACTTTCACTTAAGCTAGATTGCTACTGTGTGTAAACTCTCATCTGCACTTGTAATCAAGCTTCTCCTACAGTATCAATGAAGATGATGATGGCTTCTCAAATGTTCATGTGTATTCGTTAAGCTGTTCATCTGTTCTTCATAACCTGGCATGATAGATCATTTTCTTCAACACCATACTTTTTAAATCTGTCCATAAATTGAGAGATTTGGGATCAACAATTGGTATCAGAGCAGATTGATTCATCTTCAATCAAAACGATCAAATCTGAATCTAAAATTCAAATTCTCTCATCTATTTTGGGTTTATTCTTCAAATTCTCATTCATTCCTGTTTTTCACAGTTTTCTCTACGTATAGAGATATAAAATCCTGTGATCAACTTGTATGTTCATTTTTTGAATTTAAGAATTTGGTATTGTAATCTCTAAGCTCACAACAATGGCAAACTGGAATTCTGCATACGGTGTTGGAACCCTTCAGCGTGAAGAATATCCACAATGGAAGATAAGGATGATCAACTTCTTCGAAGGAATGGGTATGTACCTGTACCGATCTGTTATCAACGATCCTCATATTCCTCATACCTTAATTCCCATGAGTTTCTGCAACTGCAACTACTGATGAAATTCCGGCTTACTTCGCCTCTAAGGATGAGAAGTCATGGAATGACGAAGACAAGGAAAAAGTTGAGGTTGACCGAAAAGCTAAGAGACTGCTCATTATGGTGATCCCTAACGCGATTTTCCAATCTCTTGATTCATGTAAGACAACTAAAGAGATTGGGGACGAACTCGCAAGTCAACTTGAAAGAGGGATCAACACAAGGATTGTTTGGATACAGATCATCTTTGGCAGTATATGAATCACGTCCACATGGTAAAGACATACTTTATCTTCTATTTGTCGTTATAGTTGCAGTAAAATAAATTATTCACTACTTTGTTTCTTTGTCATTAATTTATATAGTTCAATGGCGAGATAGTTGTGGAGATGATGTGTCGGAGCTAAACGTGTTGGTAGTAAGAATTCTTGGTCTTACTTGTTCGACATCAACATGGACAAGCTTGATGTACATTATATACAACATGAAGTTGAAGCACAAATCTCTAAAGGGACAATCACTAAAAGAGGAAAATGATTCTTTGATTGTTGAAGATGTGTTTTCAGATGATGAATGGATTGCCAATTCAAATGATGAAGACAACGATATGTACCAATTGAAGTTGGCGAGACAATTGAGGATAAAGGCAAAAGTATTCATGTGGATTTGGAAAACAAAGATGATAGTGATTATGAATGCTTGTGGAGCTATGCAATTTGATCATATTTCAAGAAATTCTGGCTTGTAGAATTAATGAATTTATGTTTTAAAGGAGTATAACTAGTACTTTTATGGCTTCCATAGTTTGATATGGGATCATGTTTTGCTTGTTATGAATTTTATTTGTTTTCCTCCTTGAGACGGGGGAGACCAGTTTTCGTTAAATGTGTCGGAACATAAAGTAAGCCACATATCAACGTTGTTGAGTTTCACCTCGAGGCCATCAAACGACCTTGGTGCTTATTCTCCAAGGTTTCAAAATGAGAACATCAAAACTCTTCACTTGATTCAAACCAAGGGTCCAAGTGAGAACATCAAAACTCCTTACTTGCCTTAACCAAAGGGTCCAAGTTGAGAACAATAAAACTCCTCACTTGATGGAACCCAATGGCTCCAGGCGAGAACATCAAAAATCCTCACGTGATACAAACAAGTGATTTCAAGAAGAGAACATCAAAACTTCTCTCTTCATGACCAAAAGGGTCCAAGCTGAGAACATCTGAACTTCTCACTTGACTCAACCCTTATGGCTTCAAGATGAAGACATCAAAACTTCTCGCTTGGCAAACACGACTGACACATATGCCTATGGATCCAATGCAATACAGTCTAAAGTATATGACTCTGATTGAATGATCAACGCACTTAAAACATGTAATTCTCAAATAAAGATGCAATAACTGCAAAGCATGCCCAAGCTCATTGGGTAATTTAAACCGGACAAATGTCCCCAAAAATCAAATGGAATAAAATCAAGCCAATAAACTC